AATGCCCTGATTGTATTTAAATCGGTAAATTTAGCACTGTTCAGTGTAAGAAGTGAATAAACTCAGATGCAATACCCCTAGGCAATGGCTTGTTACCACACTGAGTTCTTTGTTCTTAAGTAGTATTTCATGAGCACAAAACTAAGTAAGATTTGGATTCATCTGCCTCATTTTGAGAAAGGTCATTTTCTTTATTCTTTCTTTCTTTCTTTTTTTTTTTTTTTTTTTTTTTTTTTTGGTTTTTCGAGACATGGTTTCTCTGTATTGTTTTGGAAGCTGTCCTGGAACTCACTCTGTAGACCAGGCTGACCTCGGATTCACAGAGATCAACCTGTCTCTGCCTCCCAAGTGCTGGGATTAAAGGCACACACCACCAATGCCTGATAAATGAAATAACCTCTTAGTCCTTTATTCTACTGACATTTTGAAAGTCAGTTTCCAAAGTTGATTTACTTCCTCAAATATGAATTTGTTTTCATCATGTATCCTCCTCCAAACTGTCTTGTATTGTTTTGTTATCGTTAGCCTTTATTTTTACTGCATTCTCTAGCAGTTTAGTGTACAAAGAAAACATGTTACACATGGAAGTATGAAGACTGCTATAAAGATCTTTTATTCTTAGAGAATTTAACATACTAATATAATGTGTTTCAACCAGATTCACCTATCATTCCTTCCCCTTCAAGTCCTCTTTTATTCCCCACAATTATTCCCTACTGTTGTCACATATTCTTTATTTTTACTCATTTAGGCTCTGTAGCACTATTGGTATATGCATGAGTAAGCTATCTACTGAACTGTGGGTGGGCTCTCAGGGACCACATCCTTGGAAACTGACTCTCCTTTTCCAGATGTCATCAGTTGCCATTATCTCCTCAGCTAGGGCTGTACTCTGCACCACCTCATCTTCACAGAGCTTTCATCTAATTGGATCTTATTCAGATGTTTTGCTCGGTGTCACACACACTGAATTCATATGTGCAGCTGCTCTGTTGTGAAGAGAAAAGACTGTTGCTGGAGTTTCTTGTCCAGCCAGGTACCACCGTTGTTTCAACCCCATATGAACATACAGAGATGCTGTATTAGTTATAAAAATTGTTGGCCAATGGCTAGAGCTTCTTGTTGGCTAGCTGTGTCTTAATTATTAACCCATTTCTATAAATATAAGTATTTCCATGTGGTCTTGGCTTACAAGAGAATGGTCTGGACCTGCTACTCCTTCCTCCTCTACCTGTTGTCTCCTTGTCATCTCTCTCTCTGCCTACCTCTCCGGGAATTCTCCTCATCTCCTAGTTCCACCTATCTTTCTGCCTCTATTGGCCAAACAGTGTGCTATTCATCAACCAATAAGAGAAACTTATATACAGAAGGGCATCCCCCATCACAAGACTGCTTTGCTGTAGCCGTGTCCACTGCCTCTGGCTTCTACACTCACTGCCCTACAGAGTTATTTTTAAAATTTATCAGTGTTATATTCAGGATTTGGAGGTATTTTTGTTGCGTGCAATTTCCTTTGGGAGAAATGGTTATTATTATTGTTGTTTAAAAGCCTTAATCTGAATTGATTAATGAAAAATTTTACTCACCAAAGGAAACATAATCACGGGTGCCCTGTCAGTGTCTACATCCTGAGAATTCCTGGGAGAAAAAAGTGAATTCCAGGAAGCAGGGTCATTTTCATAGTCTATTACATATTCCCAATACAACCAATGTTGGAATAATTAACAATTATTAAACTTCAAAATGGCCTACAACTATTCTTTTGCCCACTGTATCAAGTGCCCATTGCTTGCTTTGGAGGCTCTCACACTGTGGGTACCTTTTTCCTGACCTATCTCATTCAGCACTAATCTCTCCTGTACTGGTCAGCTCAGTATTTGGACTGTTTTCCATATAGTCTATGTCTACACTTTTTCCCACTGTTAGAACTAGCCTATTTAACTTTGTATCATTCCTCTTTTATGGCATGGTTTCTTCCAATCAGTGCAAATTCTACCTTGAATTAGAATTATTCTACTTAGCAGTTTTGGTGTTCCAATTAGTCAACATGGGAAGTTCTGTTGAGCAAAGTCTTAGCTGGTTTATTAGTGACCTACAGCCACATTTTTCATGAATTTCATGACTTTGAAGAGCACACATTTATGCTTGTAGTTATAGGGTATCAGTTCTTTGACATTAGTTTTACTAGATAACCATTCAAGTGTCAATAGAGCTGTGATCCCTCCAGAAGCTCTAGCAAATACAGAAAAAGATTTTGATCCTTTCCATGTTCTAGAGAATATTCCTAGGTGTCTCATCTTCAAAGTCATAAGTGTAACTCCTTGCTTCAACAGTCACATGTCTTCTTCTATATCAGATCTTCTTCCCCTCTATTTTATTAAGGCAGCTGTGATTACATTTAAGCCTATATTATCTAGAATCATGTCCTGAAAATCCTTCATAAAGTCTGAAATGTCCCATCAAGGTAATATTTGCAGATTATGGTGGTCATGGATTGTATAACTTTGGGGTAAGGGCCAACATAAATCCTACCATAAATGGCAAAAACAAAGGAAGACAGTAAATATTTCTAAAATCTCTACTGAGTTGCAGTGGGGAGTCACCCTCCCAAAGTGAATAGATAATGTCAACAGCAGCTGAATAACAAGTGCTTCGAACAATAAACAGTAAAAAGAAAAAAACTGTGATACTGGGTTTTGAGTATGAGAGGACCTTTTACTTGTGCATCACCCAGAAATGGGGACAGTGGCTCCATGTTCATTATCTCACACCAATGAAGATTAACACCACAAATACCGTTGTGGAAGTAAGCAAAGTAGAAGCAAGATTTACTAGGAAGAATCATGGAAAAGTGAGAGAAGTTTCCAAGAAAGGATGTGGTTTCCAAGAGAGAAAAGGATATCAGGTTCTCTTTCTAGGTATTTTTTAGAGAGCCATGATCGAATTTGGATAGAGACTGAAGTAACTGTGATGAGCCTAGTTAGTTCTAGTGACAATGCAAGACCCATGCACTTTATGAATGTCTTGCTGGCCCAGCTAGACAGGCGGCTATATACTAATCATGTGATGCCCACCCAGGTGGGAATGAGTAAAGACCCCTCTGAACATCTCCAACTTCTCTGGTGATGGACCTGACCCTGTCTCACCAGCTGGCTTTGCTGCCTCCCACCCGGCAGGTACTCAAGAACCCTTGATTACGCTACGCTCTTGTTCTCACAGCTGTCCAGAAGTAGCTACCCTTGCTTTTCCTCAATTCTGTCTCTGGCCTGATCTGATATTTCTTTCATAAAATAAGAGAAAATTACTTACAATTTACTGTGCTATAAATACTTATATTAGAAAAGGGAATGTGTAAATTGCAATGGCCCCGAACATATCTTCCTCAAGGGCTTTGGGGAGAAGAGTCAGACTGCTGTCACTGAACTAAACCCCTTTCCTTCTTATGTGGACTGCTTGATTATCTAATACTCGGACACCAGACTCCTTCATCATCATTGGTTTTTCAGACTCTGCCATTTGGGTCCCGAATCTTTCTATTAATCCCAGCCTCTGCTCTCATAGAAAGATAAAGACTTTCATCTTTTCCACTTTCTGTAACAGAGAAACAATTTGCTATTTTTACCATAGGTTTGCTCACTTTCTACCTACTGAGAGCTTCAACCTGCATCATTAGCAATGACAACCAGAGAATTTCCAAAAACCACCCAGCAGTGGATGCTGATATTCCTCTTTTATCAAACAATCTAGTCACTCCCTCAGCCCTTGACTTCTCTGTACTCTCCTCACGTTGGTGCCTGTTCTTCAAGATATCCCCTTCATTAACATCCTTTCTGCCATTTGATAGCAAGCATCTGCACTATGAAGACAAAGGAACTCCATAACCCAGAGCATAAGGGAAGTTGGAAGTTATCCATATGGATTAGCAGTAAGATGCTTTAATACAAACACACCATGCACGTCAATGGGATCTCTAAATTATTTGACCTTGAGTCAGCATAAAAAAGTCATAGTATTTGGTGAACATTTCTTGAAAACATGTCGAATTCTTCTAAAATTTAACTCATAATCCTGCTCATATTTTAATCTTTACTTATGCTATCTCTAAGGGTCACCTCATATCTATCCAGTCATGGCACTTATCTTCACTACAAATTGAAATGTTGCCTCATAGAGTAATAAGGAAGCTTATGAAACTTACAAGGCTCAGAAAGTTGCCATATTCACAAGCCTCTCCCCACCACCTCAGGCAATAAAAACAGTTGGAGAAAGAAGACTCAGTTGTCTGTGTCATCCACAAGTTTTGCATGGAGCATCAGGGATGCAGTTTTCATTAGTTGTCTCAAATGCTAGTGTGGGTTATATGGTGATTTACTTGGTTTCTGTCATCCTTGGGTGAGCCTGTAACTCCTCCCCACACTTCAGTAATGAACTGCAACAAACTTACTGGTTCACCAAACTAGACTTGGGTGGAGTCCTCATGGAAAGCCACAAAACAACTAGTAAGTAATCTCTGACACTTACACTTCTATATGCTTCATTGATACCTTGTTTAAGTACGAGTCCATCTTGAGAGCTTCACATTCCAACATGAATATAATAGTAATAAATTAACATGGATTGCTTTTTAGGAATACCTGACTAAAATTTGAGGATGTTGAATGTAGAAATTCCTTCTGTTCTGAGGAATATCATTTCCCTTCAAGGCTCCAGTGTTACATATACTAGTTCACAACACTTAGTCTAAAATATCATAGCTCTTATTGCTCTCTTTATATATCCTACTGGTATAAGCAAACCTTATATAATATCACTCCAATGTGACCAAAAAATAAGTGCAAAATAGATCAGACCCTGAAATATAACTGTGACATAACTGTAATAGAAACAATACATGGGACTTTGAATCATTGGTATGGGTCAGGAATTTTTTTAATAAGACATCCAAAGCAAGGACCATAAAAGCAAAAATAATAGGCAAATAGGATTATATGAAATGAAGAAACGTCAGCACAGACAGCAAATAGTCAATGTAGTAAAAATGACCAGCACATAGGAGGAAGTATTTAGAAACTATAATACGACAAAGAATTAACATCCAGAGTATATAAGGAATTCAAATAACTGCAAAATAATGTTATTCTTAAATGGTTTAATAGCCATAATAAACATTTGTCAAGCAAAGACACACAAACGGCCAAGTACATATGGTAATATGCTCAATAACATTATATGTAAGTAAAAATATAATTAAAAACACAGGAGTATATAATTATCTTACTCCCTTAGTGTGGCTATTATCAAAAAGCAAGAAGAAAAATACAGATGCCAGTGAGGATTAAGAGAAAGAAGAACACATACTCGAAGGCAGTATAGATATTCTTTTACAGATTAAACTAAAAATAAAAGTTTCATATGATCCACTAATGTATCTAAAGAAAGTAAAAATAAAATGCCAAAGAGATACTCTTGTGCTTATTGCAACACTATTCAGTAAAGTCAATATGGAATCAACAAAGTTGTCAGGGGACAAATGGATGTAAAAAGAAAATGTCACATACTAAAACACACACACACACAGAGGAATATTTGTCAAGCATAGAAAAAGAATGAGATCCTGTTACTTGTGTCAAAGTGGCTTGATCCAGGGAAAGTCGTGTTAGGTGAAGTAAGCCACACACTGAAGGCAAATAACTAAAAACACTAAGCTTCTGACCAATTTGAGAAACAAAGGACAAAAGATCCCACAGCTGAGTTCAGGAGACACTTGGAAGCAGATAGAGGAGAAAAGACAGAGAAAGACCAAGTAAGAGGAATCAAAATACGTTGAGAAAAGAATCAGTTCTGGTGGTCAACAGCACAGTAGGATAATTTTCCCCCAAACAGTGTATGGCGTATTTCAAAATAGCAAGAAGAGTCAAACATTCCCAGCACAGAAAGATCAATGCTTGAGAGATATAAATGCTAATTATCCCAATTTACATTTTAGGTTTCTATCTAATTGTTACACTATACCCCACAAGTAGATATAAACATGCTTCATAAATTACTCATGGTAGTAGTCTGTGCATATCTGAAAATGCCTTTACTTCCATTATTTAAAGATAATATCAAAGTATGTCATTCAAATACTTTTCTTTCCACTTTGCAAGATCTTCTGGTGTTTGTTATTGTGTTATCTGCTACATGGCAGGGCGATGATGCACACACCTGTAATTCCAAACCTGGTTGGGAGGAAGATGCAGAGTGAGCAAAAGAATAAGGAACATATTCCCATAGCATTTTGCTTTTCAAAATTCACCCTCTTGGACTTATCTGATAACTGTATGTTCCAACGTGCATTCTGAATTAGAGGGCTAGTATTTTCCCATAGTTACAATTTTTTTCATCATTCTATATTTTAATAGTTTTCCCCAAATGTCTCCATTCTCACCTGATATTCTTATACTTAACCTTTTTCTTATTTTTAATATTTGTGTTTCCCTGCTTGACTTCTCCCACACTCAAAGTGTCAAATTTCTTAAGCTGTTTGTTTTTTATTTTAGATTGTGAATGGTGTTCTGCAGAGTAGCAAAATGTCACTCCACACATACGGCACTGAGTTTTCAAGATATTCTACAATTATTATTGTTTAAAACTAATTTTAGCTTAATAAATCACTTTAGAAGATATTTAATCTTGTAGATAATCTACATTTGAAACTCATAATTTAAAGACAATGAGTGGACTTATTTTTCACTTACACCTGATGCCAAGAAGATGAACTTTTTTGTCATCTCTATATTTAAAGGCAGATAAATGCATCTGGCTCTTTTACTTCAGTTATCTAAGAGCCCAGACTTTATACCTGGGTCCCACTCTTCCCTTACACAGGCTTAACAGCAGTTTCAGATGCTACAACTGAACACTTTAGATTGGGATGCCAAAAAGGTAAACATGCATTTCTCACAATTCTGGAGATTGCTGGGTATGCTTCTTGCTTTAGAAGAAGGCATGTTTTATTAAGTCATAAGATAGAGCAAAAGGAAAAGAAAGAGGCAAGTTGCTATCTTTCTTCTAGAAAGCACTGATACCATCCAGGAAAGCATTGTTCTGTGTTCAGATAACTGCTCTAGGTCTTACCTCCAAAACTTCCCAGGGGTTGAGGACTTCAACACAGGCTGGTCAGTGAATGAGGCATGAACATCCAATTCAGCATTGCTTAGAACCAATTTTTAAACTGTCTCTAAACTCTAGAGAAAAAATTCTTAGCATCTTTAATATAAGTCAATCAACATTAGCATGGTATAAAACTAAACTCCTTATTCTGTTCTTTGCCCTTTTGCTGCTATAATGTGCCTGTATATTCTGTACCTAAATGTCCAAAATTGAAGGGGGTTTGTGCCTTGCTTATAAACAGCTATTTCCTCTGAAGAGGGCATTCATGAAATCATGACCAAGACTAAGAAGTCTACCTCTGTCCCAGAGGTAAACAATGACAGGGAGGAGTTTACTCTGGTAGCACAGGGGATTCAGTGACCTAGATTTCCTGGGTCATCACACATGCTGAGGTGGGCTTTAACTTGATGAGCACACTTAAGTCACCATGCTCCTTTGAGATACCCCGATCAGCTCATTGACTCATCAAGTCAGACATCAATGGTTGCTTTAGTCTGTCCCTGTTAACCTACCTGAAAGGAAGAGAGGTTGTCTCTCCAGGAAAGGTAATGTGACACATGCCACCCTAAATATAGAATGCTCTCAGGGGTAGAACTAATACTAGGCTATTTCATAGAACACTACAATTTTCATGTACTTTTTATTTCATTTTAAAGCCTTTAGCTAAGTCAGAGATTTCTAGCCCAGTCAATTGTAGAGCAGTTAATCTAGCCCAGGACATAAAGAATAGTGTATTATGGACAAAGAGTCAGATTTGAGCAACTTTACTAGAAAAGTGTGTTTGACAAAGCATATGGTGAGGTTATATAATGGAATCTCCACTATTGCTTAGTGCTTAATTGATACTCTTTAATTATTCAAATATATTTTTCTTATCTCACTAAGAAAGCTTTTATCGGGAATTATCTCTTATCTAAACACTGTTAAATTTATTATTGGCATTCAAAACACATTTGATATATAAGCTAAGGGGCAAAGTAATTGAGTAAGATGGCTATCAGAGAGTATTATGAGTTCAAGAGAAGTTAGAAGTTAGTCATATAAGAAAATAGAAATCGAGTTGAGTATAGTTTACTGAGGCAAAAAATCTAAGATTATAAGATGGTTAAAGGAAGAAGAATAGAAAAATACCAAAGTGTGTGGGCTATCCAGATGGCTCAGTGAGCAATGATACCTTCTACAAAACTTAATGACCAGAGTTCAGCTCCCAGAATTAACGTGGTAGAAGAAAAGAACAGACTCCCACAAGTTTTCCTCCAAGTGCCACACACAGACACACACAAATAAAAATAGAGATGCAAAAATAATTTTTAAAAATACAAAAATATATAAGGAAAAAACAGGTCTTGTGTTAAATATAATAGTAAGAATAAAGTCCCAACTTCTTACTCAATAAGGATTACAGAAATTATCACAGGAGAAAGAGGACAAGTAGCTCTTTGACAAGACATGAAAAGCAAGAATAATATCTACTCCAGAACTCCATCAAATCCTAATACAGAATATTTTGAGAATAATAATTTTCTGTGATATAAATTTTGAACAAGATTTTTTATCTGGAAGAATAAGTAAACTTTACATAAGAATCTCTATTAAGCTTTCCAAGTAGCTAGAAAAAAATCAGTTCAGGAAGGCATTTATTTTTCATGCGGCCCATGAATTTATTGACGTGTACTGGTGACAATGGAAAACTTGTGGCTAACATTCAACCAGAAATCTAGTCTACAAAGTTCAAAACTGACCTCATCTTAGCAAGAAAAACAAAAAACATAAGCCTTCAAATCTGGGAGTACAGGCTCATCAATTTTAGTAACTAATGGCACTCACAGCATTCAGTTTAGCTACACTTGCTAATTTTGCACTGATTTTTCCAGATGGTTGTGGAATATTTATATCACAAATGTTTTTCACTTAATAATAATAATAGGAGCCATAATTTTCTGTGACAAAGTAGGAAATGTAAAGGGAAAGGATTTCAAAATGAGTGCAAGCATTAAGACCATCTTGAAGAACAAAGACGATTCAGTGCAGAGGAGTGTCTTAAGGACATTTTCAATGAGTCCCATGTATAAACATGGTTAGATGTCACCTAAGTAATAAAATTCAATTTGCCTTTGTGCTTTAGCTCAGCACTGGAGGATTGGAAAACTTCCCAGACTTGCTAGGCTGGATATGAATTCTCACCTCCCCCAAACTTCTGTGTTTAACGAGTGCCTTTCCCAATTATAGCTATGGTTCTGACAGCAACTAACCATTGCCCTGAGTGACAGGCGGAGGAAGCCAAAAGCTTTGAAGCTAACAGGGAGAAGTTGATGTGACCGCCAATCACACACTCAGCCAAAACGATTCCTCATGGACTCATTCTAATGTTGCCTACATATCAGAACCCAGTCCATGTGCGCAGTTTACATGGAGGCATTATTATGATGGACGTATTACAGGGGTGTGCTAGCTGTCATGTGATGATGGCATACTGCATAGCTCCTGTTTTTCTTCTATTGTATTAAAATAACAACAACAACAAAAAAAACAGAAATAATGACCTACTCTAGTATAGGTACCTCCAAAACAAGAAAAAACACCCACTTTGTGAGTAAAATAGCCTACCCTTCCATGGCAGGCATTGTGGTTTTGAAGAAAACCCTGCCTTAGTAGACAGTTTTCTTTAATTGTGATAATTCAAGGCAGGCAATTTTATCATAAACACTTTTCAACAGTTTAGGCTAGAGATTGAGTACTTAAACTATAGAAGATAATGTTAGGTAAAAGTAAAAATGGTCAGGCACATAAGGATCTTTTCCACCAAGCCTGATGTGAGTTCAATTCCTCAGAACCCACAAGGTGGAAGGAGAGAACTGGCTGCTAGATGTTTTCCGCAGACCTCCACATAAACAAACGCTGCGTAACATAGGCACACTCTCACCCACAAAAATAAATAATACAGAGTAGTGAAAATTTTCTGAGGCTAAATTACTGTTAATTTCCAAAGCAAAACACTGTACAAAACAATGTGGAAACAAAATGTCAACTCAACTTCATTATAAGCAGCCTTCATATATTAGAAGGATATGAGCCCTTTATTCTCTCTCTCTCTCTCTCTCTCTCTCTCTCTCTCTCTCTCACACACACACACACACACACACACACACATGCACACAAACTCACATAAAAATCACCATTGGTGAACTATATTTGATTATCTGATCTATAGACTAATTGAGCCATTAATAGATGTTGGAAATATAATTGCGTTTGTCTTCATTCTGATGTATGAATCTGACCTTTATAATCACTTCTATATCAAATTCTTTTGTATTCATTATTAGTTTTATAATAACTCAAATATTTAAGGAAACTATAGAAAGTCCATGTAAATGAAGTGCTTTTCTATTTCCAATCCTTTTAAAGTTTATTTCTGAGATAACTATATCCTCTTTGAAGTTTTGTTATCATGATTCTCCATTCAATGACCTATGATGTTAAAATCCAACCAGATTTTCCTAAAATGTGTTTCATAGGCCACTCACTCCACACCATGGAATTCTATGTTCTGATTCAAATGTCTCAGAAAAGCTAGGTTAAGTAATGCCGAGTAGGTTTCTTTGCTCATTATCCTTTAGAGCCTGTAAGTGTTCATTGTGAATAAACAAGGGTGAAGTCTTTTGTGATGTATCTCAGGGATATTGGTCATGGATTTTTTTATTTAACACTTTAAAGGATTAGTTTTGGGTTTGTTTGGTATTGGTGTTTAGCTTGATATACTCACGATTTCCCAAGAATTTTTAGAGGGACAGCTTATATAACCAAAACTGCTTGCTATTTGAGGTTGTTTTAAAGTTTATGTGTTTGAGACTAAGATCTCAATAAATAACTTTACAAAACAGTTTTTGGATTATTTGTGATCTCTCTCTATGGCCATGCTGTAGCAGCAGGAACAAATTAAGAACATTCCTTATAAAGTTGAGCTCCAGCAAATTGACAGATGAAAAGACACTTTGGGAAACAGCAAACTATAGACAGAAGTGGTGACTTGTCACCAGTATTTCTACTGCCCTGCTTAAATGAAGAATTCCTTGCACTGACTACTTACGGCCGCCACAGAGAAGTATATAAAACAGTGATCACAATTTCAAAGAGAACCATAGGGAAGTGCAGGAACATGAACATGGTGGAAGGCTATTAAACTTCTGCTCTAAGTAGAAAACTATAGGAATTTATCAAAAAATGAACAAAATAATAAAAATTCAAACACAATCCTAGACAAAATCCTCAGGATTTGTTGATTCAGCAGTATCTAAAAGCAAACTCGCTCTGCACCAGAAAGTTACTCACAGCCTTCTCAGGGGACCCAAGACTCATTCCTATCATTAAAATTACATTTATTAGCACACCCTTCTCAAATATTTGGGTCATGTTTGATCCTGAGTAATCTTGAATGAATTAGTTGTCTTACCAAGTATCGGTGGAAGACTGAATTAAGGACTTCAGTTCGAACTCAGCTAATCTTAACTTCCTAAGAAGAAGGATAAAGGGAATGGAAAGTATAGATTAACAAAATCAGCTTCCAAAACATAGTCAGCTAATTCTCGATGGTGGAAAATTGCTGTTGGTGATAGCATTGATACAATGCCTAAACAAAAACATTTTTAAATTATGTGCTTACCCCTGGAACTGACTTGTGAAGCAACCTTGTTTCTAATCTAAATTTAAACTGAAAAATAAATAAATAAATAAAAATTATGTGGTTACCAAGTGTGAGGTGGGTGACGCTCCCTTTGCTTGAAATACTAATTTTAAGAACTCTGAACAACGGATCATATATCCACATTTCATGATAGAAATGTTTGTCTAACTTGGCCCATTGATATGGAAAAGTTCTTAGATGCTAGGAACAGTTGCCTTTGAATTAGGTTTTATGTCATTTAGCTACCTAAGTTTACACCTAAAGTGCTGGCACAGTTTGCTGCAGATTCCATATTTTGCTTTTCAAACTGTGTTGCCCAGACCACCTGCATAATAGTCATTTGGGAGACTGGAGAGATGCTGAGTCTTTGCCCCAAAATTAATAAAGCCAAAGCTCTAAAGTAAGGCCAAAAAGTCTGCATTCTGGCTAGTGTTCTGGTTATTTGTGTTCAAGCTGCAACTGAGGACTATCCTGTGTGGGCATGGCAAGGAAGCAGTTAAACAGCAGCTGTGGGGCAGTGATGTTTACCCCTGGTAGAAGTTCACTCATGGACAAAGGATGTTTACTGAAGTTGATTTTTCATCCCCTGTTTTTCATATCAGTTTGGTCTAAAAGCCCAGGGCCTAGTCCCATTGCTGCCATGGTAGTTAGCAGGAAATTATGGAAACAGGGAGCTCAAACTAGTTCTGCACTTTGAGACTTGAACTAAATTGACATTTTACAGTGTTCTGAAATAAAGGTAGTGGACAGATTTTCCATAGATGTATCTCCATTGTCCCTGGATTTCTGAGAAAGCATCAGTTATTCTTAAAGACATATTTAAAGTAAACTGTTAATTGACCAGGTCAGCACATCTGTGTATAATAATTCCTCCCTGTTCCTGATAGGGTTTTTTTATTTGCTGTATGAAACAAGCTGAAGTTAAACATTAACTTAATTGCATGTCGGTGGGTTTTTATGATCCGTGATCCTTTTGTTTACCTTCACAAAGTCCAAAGTTAGAGATGACTTTTGGTGATCACAGTGACCATAAGTAAGCAAAGTGACATTCTAACTAGCAGCTATTTTCCAGGTCATAAGTGAGACCAATGCAGACAAATTAAGTCATCAGAATCCTGGCTGCATCTTCTCTCCCCAGTCATTTCCATCCATATGATTCTCTTGCCAAAGAGTCATTCAGTCTACAAATAAATATGATGAAAGAATAAAAGAAGTAGATTAAAATTGAGTAAAGAATTTCATTACTTGATTAGATCCTATATATTGCTTTGCAACTCAGTTGTATTTGGAGGATTTCAGGTTTTAAAAAGCCCAGTCAGCCTTTTTCTCTTTCTGATGGCTGTTGTCTCAGCATGTAAGCTCTCAGCTACTTCTCCAACACCATGCCTGCCTGTTTGCTGCCATGCTGGGTGGCATGATAGTTGTGGATTCACCCTCTGAAACTCTGTACACCATAAACTCTTTCTTCTCTAAGTTCCCTTGATCATGGTGTCTTACTGCAGCAATATGAAAAAGATGCTATTTGTCCAAATGGGAAGGAAATGTACTATGTCATAATATGTGCTTTTGGTGAGGAAGTGTTGGGAGATGAATGAGAAATGTAGTCCTGTCATGTGATATATACCTTTACTGAGGAAGATAAAGGCACTTTAGGACATGGGGTAGAGAGGAAGTCATGCTCCAAGCTGTTCTAAGGTAAAATGACCTATTTCAAAAAGTACATTTACCATGGATATGTCCATAGTTTCAGTGGAGCCTAGATCCTGTATTTCCAGGTACCACTGTCTCCAAACAGGGATAACTTATGTCAACCCAGAGAAAAACACAAGAATCTTCAATTTACCTACCAGATGCCAGTTCTGACTAATTTAGTCAGCATAGATACCATTTTCAGATTTTCAGTCATCCAAGAATAAAAATCACCGTAATGAAGCTAATCATGACTCACTTCTCCATACCTCACCACTAGGATGACTAGGTATATGATCTTGGACAATTCCCTTTACTTTTCTGTACACTCACGTGGTGGTAAATTAGATGCTGCAACGATAAGGTCTGTCCCTGGTGATTTCTTTAATTTCCATGTGACCTCACACTGGATATCTGAGAAATCAGAAAGTGCTTGCTAAAGCTAAATGTTTCTTTAAGAGAAATGAAAAAAAAATCAGTGCAGCTGCATCTGGAAACAAGAGTGCCAAGGGATAAGTGGTATCCAATAATTAATAAAAACTGGTTGCAAAGCATTTTGCAAATAAAATTCAGGATAATTTATAAATATTTAAGTAGTTATTAAATTTAATATGAATATTACATAGACACAATTCTGATTCCCTATGCTACTTTCTTGCCTCAGAGTGATTCTCTTGTATTTGTTACATCACTGTTCATATTATTGCTGTTAATTACATGGTAAGGAAGAAAGGAGAGCTAGTGGTGAATAATTAGCTATCTAAGTTTTTATTGGAAGGTAATATTCTTTTCAATTGTAATATATTTGAGACTTAAGTTAATTTCCTGATACACAAGGTTCTTTTTTTCAAAATCTGGTTTTGCCTTTAAGTCTTCTCATCTTATTGGTTCGATTACAACTTTTCAAAGCCACACATCATTTTATTGCTATTTATATTCCTCTAAAGTTTCTCAGTCCAATGTTACTAATTGTTAAAACAAAAGGCGCCTAACAATAAAACCACCACCACCATCACCACCACCATCAATCACCACCACTACCACCACCATCACCATCACAACCACCATCCCCACCACCACCATGCCAACAACCAGCAACAAACCTTGCCAGACTTGGGAAGTAAAGCTGATACAGAGAACACTCCCAAGTCTTTCTACCTGCTGGCTCAGGAAACTCTCATACCAGCGGAAACCTATAGAACATTCCCAGTTGAGAGATGAAGAAACAGACTGAAATAGGATAAAGAGCACCAAAATATCCCTCCTGCAGCATGAGAGGCCCAGCTGCACTTGGTGCTAAATCAGCTGCTATTTCACATGTCTTTGTATAACCTTTTTTTTTTTTTTTTTTTTTTGGTTTTACGAGACAGGGTTTCTCTGTTTTGGAGGTTGTCGGTCCAGCCTGGCCTCGAACTCACAGAGATCCGCCTGCCTCTGCCTCCCGAGTGCTGGGATTAAAGGTGTGCACCACCAACGCCCAGCTGAAAAAGTCATTCTTTGTTGACATCAAAAATGATTTTGAACACTTGACAAAGGGGAATAAAAGTATATAAGAGGAAGTAGCAATGAAGAAAGAGTGGAAACAAGCCCTGGCATCCAAAAAGGAGACTAGTGTTTTAAAGCAGTATGACAGTGATCATTTCTTTAAAGAGAAGCAAAATAGAACTGGCATCCTACCTCAAGGCGGTAGCCCAAGTGGCACTGGAGGATCAGGAATAGAATTTACCTAATACCCTTTGGGCTTAGTTGTGGAGGCGTGGTGAAGTCTATAAGCAAAGCCAGAAAGCTAGCACAGGAGAAAGTAATTGGCTTTGCTGATAAGGGGCCAAGAAGAGAGCTGACTGCAGGTGGGCCCAATGATAAGCAAAATGGATGATGCTGGGAAGACTTGATTGAAATAGTTTAATAAAAGCATGCGACTGTTGCCAATTAGAAGCTAAAAGTAAAATATGATTCTGCTGCTAATTTTGCATCCAAACTGAATTATGCTATGATTACACTAATAGAATAGCATTGGAGACTTGCTATCTAGCAAGCAGCTCAACGGAGGCAGTAAAGCATCACTATCGCTACCTCACCTGGCTCCTAAGATGCTCATGCAAAAACATGTTTCTACAGAGAGATGCCTTGCGAGGGAGGGTGAGCAGAGGCTTCACAAGGTGCTCGGGAAAAGGATGATGACTTCCAGACCAAAACCAAAGCCTACTTAGCCTGGAAGGACTTAGGTAACTCTGGATGAGCAGTAGTCAGAATGGCTGGAAAGAGGATTCACTAAGATTTCTGCTTTCTACCAAGTCTTACACTGCAAGAATCCTGTGTCTAGCAGTTGCTTAGACATAAGTCCCCTCTGTAATTCCTGTAGTTTCTAGCTAGAAGAAAATAAGACAAGGGAAATGTGTGCAATAATGTAGGTAGAACAACAGTGGAGCATGCATGCACATGGTACAACCTGGCTGAACAAATAGGGTACATACACCCGCCTGTTTGGGGCTCAGTACAGTTTTCTTTCTCCCCAGACTCCTGCCACCTCTCTGTTCTGTATTGTCCACACTGGGACTTGGATTAAAGGCTGATTTGCATCTGTTGTGTTTCCTAATTTCCCAGGAGTGTATGAATGAATTCCTAACGAAGGCACTTTCCTTTTATTTCCATGAAATGTGATTCACAGTGTCACTTGGCAGCTAGTGACATGTGGACTGGTAATAATAAGGTCTTGCCTTCTGAAATAATCTGTGAAAAATCCATGTTTAACTGTTCTTCCTATTCAAATTAATTCAGATACTGAAATTATGTTACAGAGCATCCTAATTCTTGAAGCACCATGCAACCTGAGGTAGTAGCATTATGGTAGAAGGGATCTCTCTCTATCTCTCTCTATCTCTATCTCTCTGTCTGTCTGTCTATCTGTCTCTCTCTCCCTCCCTCTCTCTGTTTCTCATTCCTCTTTAGATTGTATTAAAATGAAAGTGTTCAGCTGATATTTAAAGTAAAAGCAACAAGCTACAAAACCCACCCAAACCATAAGAAGTGCCTTGACTGAGGTTCATGTTAGAACATGTGATTTCCTTTCTTCATTATCGAGGCTAGGAAACATGGCTATGATTCCAAGCTGAGTCCTCAACCCTAAATAATTTGGTGAATTGCCTTGTTTTCCTGAGTGGGAGCACTCTCCAGATGTGAAGACTCCAAAGTGGAGACCTCTGATCTGTTCACACACTGAATTTCTTCTACTTTCATATGTTAAGATTTTTTTTTAAGTCAGATGACCTAGTCATGGCTCAAATTTCTTCATCACACATTCTTTTTTCTAGAAACACATGTACAGGATGGACACACCTGACTGAAGATTTGAAACTCTTGGACAAGGAATTAATCTCTGAGTTTTCACAAACTGCAGTGGTGGATTTTCTTTGTTGATTTTCTAATGCTGTTGAGAAGAAAGCTGATATGCTTGATTAAGTGGTAAGGGATTAAGTTGCTAGACAGAGGCTTTCTGAACTTATGAATGAAATGTTGATAATGCTTACATATGAAAATGCATTAAAATATCACAAATTCAAGCAAGGGCTACCACATCTAACTCTTCCTTTGCCATCTTACAGAAGAAAGAGTTAAAGTGTTATTGACACAAAGACTACAGAGTGCTTCCCCAAGTATTCTATATGGGACATAGAATGTCAGTACCCGAAGACATTGATGAAGAGCCCTGAACATACTACCTCACATGATAATGGGCACTTTATAAATGTAATTAGGAATCCTGAGGTGTGATTATGCCAGATTAAGAATCCTTATAAATAAAAAATGGTAGCTAGTCATAATGGCCCAGGTCTTTAATTCCTGCATTGGTGAGGCAAAGGCAAGCTTATCTTAGTCTAGATAATATTGTTTCAGTTCAGCTAAGGCTATGAATTGAGATATTGTTCAAAATGAAGCAGAAGTAGGGAGGGGGACAGGGAAAGGCAACAGAGGAGTACTCAAGAGGAATATTTGAAGTGATATATTGCAGGCATTGCAGAATAGAGAAAGTTATAAGCCTAGGAAACATGAACAACCTTTAGTAATTGACAAAAACCCAGATTTTCCCATGAAAAATTTCCCGGAGGATCATAGCATTTACACCTTGAGCTCTGATTCTGACACAGTCAGAACCCTCCTCTCTCCAAGAAAACAAGATGACATGTGTATTGTTTTAAGCCACTGTGATTGTGATAATTTGTTAGCTTATGTAGACAATATTGTTTCTGAAATACTCTGAGCTAAATAGTTCCCTCTGACACTGGGGTGGTTAAATACAATGAGTATATAGTCAGACTCTTGGGAAAATTATGATCCCAGATAGATACAGATCCTGACCTAGGCTTCCAAAATAAACCAAGAGCCCCAAGTTTCTGAACTAGAAATGACTACATGAAAGACTTTTTAAACATAAGCATAAACAGCTCTAAAACACAAGGAAAAAGAAACTAATACTTACAGTACAGGAGTGAGAACTCTAACATAAAATTTCTTTGGGTGGATTGTTATTTTTTTCATTTCAAAGAGTTTTTCCATATAATAAATTTTGATCATATTTGTCCCCCTCTTCCAACTCCTCCCATATATTCCCCACACATTCCTATTCCCCCACCCAATATTCTCTCTGTCTTTTTCTCAGTGCGCAGGGTGTGTGTGTGTGTGTGTGTGTGTGTGTGTGTGTGTGTGTGTGTGTGTATCCAATGGAATGGCAATGGATTCAGACAGCAACCACAGTTAGGGGAAAGATCTGTATCCAGAAGTAGTTATCCAACACAGAAGCAACTAGATCCTGTTGGGGTGCTTATTTGTTTTGGAGGGATTTTTGTTTCATTTTTCTTATACAAAGCTTCTTTTTGATAATGTATCCAAAAATGTCCTGGAAAATAAGTGGGTAGCCATAGTAGATACTAATAATTTTTATATCAACTGGGAAAACTTTGTAATAGTAAATGTCTGTGAATTATCCCTGATTCCACAAAACAACCCTAAGGCTAGCTGGAGAACATGTTATAGAAACAACATAGATCTTTAATCTTTCAAAGGCTTATTGGTGACCATAATTTGATTGATGGAGCCCCTCCCAAGTTTCATACAGGTTAAGCACTAAGGGAATAAAGTACAAGGCTGTAATTCTATTACTAAGGAAGATGAGACAGGGGGACAGTGATTGGAGACTAGCCTTTGCTATGTAGGGAGACTCTCTCAAAAATAAAGACCATAAAGTAAACAATGCCATAGAAGAGTGCTCTTATGAAGACAGTGGACTGTGGGTCTTTAGAGGACCCATCAATCATGCTGAGTTGGGGCAAACAGATTCTAGAAGTATCACTGCAGAGAGGAAGGATTCCACTGATGAATTCACTTCTGCTTCCCCCTTGATTTTTCCCCCAATTTAGACCTTATTTTTTCTTCTTTTTCTGTACCTTACTAATTTATCTAATTTATCACTCCTTGTTTTTCTTTCCCTTCTCCCTTTATTTCTATGTATAGCCTGTCAGTCTACTTCCTTCTTCCTATTGAACTAGCCATGGTATGTATATTTTATTAGTTTATAATCTTATATAAACTTTGAAGATTTTTCTCCTTTTTACTTTGTTAGCAAGACAAACAATTCTTTGTCCTTTATCTCTCTCTAAAGTTAGTATACACTAATTTATTGTTCATTTTTCTATTAGCCATTCTTCATAATCAGTGTTGCTCTAATCAAGTGCACAGATTTTGTTGTGTGACCAATTTTCCTTGGTCCTTTGACCTACTCTAAGGAACAGACAGTGGGTACAGTTTCAGTATGTGAAGGGAGAGGGGAGTTGAAGGCAGCAAAGAACATTCGTTTGTAAAGTGAAGCAATCTTTTTTGGCTAAGATGCACAAACAGCAATTGGGCAGTTTTGCTATAACAGTGTACTGATGGAACAGGAAGAAACAAGATCTATTTCACCCATGTGATTTTGCTTTAAAACAACTTTCAGTGCTAAGAGTTACACTTAAACACGACAAACATTTTAAACTCCATTTTGAAATTTTTGCTGACAAAAGAATAAGGAACTTTTCTCTTTGTGATTCAGGATATATCATAGAGGATCCGTCAATATGAATTTCTGGTCCTGAAAATATTAACTTTAAAGGGGGCATGTATTGCACCAGGAGTATATGGATAAATCAAAAATATTCTGATTGTAAGGAATTGCTGGACAGAGTGGACTTGGGGATAAGTGGTGATTTCTAATCTGGATTTTTTAGAACTATTTCATTTCTCTTAAGAAAGATAAAAATTTTCACATTTTGTGTTGCTCTCAGATGAGGGATACTCATTTGAATTATTATCAAGATGCATCCCACGCAGAATTTTAAAAAATCATCAATCTGCCATCTTATCCACATTATTTTCTACCTTCAGGCTCTTGATGTAGTTTTATGAGCAGGATTCAAATAAATTGGCTCTTTTTCCTTGGTGGTTTCTTTAATTACTTTGTTATTATCCAAGGAACTGGTTTAATTTAAATGAACACTGTGTTCCTGCTACTAGTACCCGGAGAAAACACAGCCTCAGAACATGCTGTTTTGTAGTTAAAGTGTATGTCTTTGCATGAGGATGCCAGAATCAGGCAGCTCAATGGCCTCTCCTTGCTTTCCATAAAAAGAAAACCCAGCCAACTCTTTCAAGCCCTTGACTGTCCCTCTCAACAGCTATTCATTTCACTATACACAAAATAGGAAGAACACATGAATCACTGATTTGTTTTAAGTAAATCTCATG